TCAGATCAGTACCCAAATCGGATCACTTTTGGCAATAATACTTACATTCAATAAATATGCCAACAATTAGTTATAACATTGATGTATTCTTAGCCATGCACCAGTTTATTTCTATAGATGATTCGTTTTTAAGTTCAAATTGCACAAGAAAACGTAATTCAAACTCAAATGTCAGTGTTTTGATTACGTTTTAAAAACTGGCGCGTATTACTGAAACAGAGATTGTGTNGTACATTATCAAGACCTGACACACATGTACATGATAAGTTTTGGTTAGATTGCTGTAAAATCAACAATTACATGAAAAAAGCACAAATGAAATTTTGAAAGATCCGCAATTTACACTGTGCAGACCTACATCTAGTTTTAATAGATACTGGCTGTGAAAATATCAACAGCTATGGAATTCCGAGTTAGTATAAGCCAGGGGTGCCCCTCCGCATCTGTGTGTATTACTACAGTGTTATTATAACCTGCCTCTTCCATCCCTCACCACTCATCTAATCAGGGGAGCCTCACACTTCCTGGAGGAAAAAGAGGGAGGCTGCAGGGGTCAAAGGGTCATCTTGGGGCACTGGGTCACGTGTGGTTCACATCAATTGCTTAGCTACATGTAGCTGTGATGTACATTTAATATTTTAAAACTTGATCTCAAGCCAAAAATGTGAATGTTTATTGTTAAGATTACTTTTTAAAACACATTTTCACCCCCAAATAAGCCACCTTGATACAATATAGATGCATCTTTGTTTGATGTAAAATTGCAGATCTTTAATTTGATCAGATACAGATGTTTTGATTAAAATGATAAATGTATATATCTTGTGGAAATTCTATGGAGAGGTGAATTTTTATGGGCACCAATTGAATTTTCAGATATTGTATCATCTAGTGAAAGGTATAAGACTGATTGTACAAAACTGAGGATGTCATTTTCAAGGCAATTGCTAAATGTCTGCATTGGATAATTCTAATTTACTTCATCTTTAGATACATCAAACAAGTATATACAGTATGACCATTACTTGTCATTAATGTCGGAAATGTTGACTCAACAGCAGAGATTGTGTATTTACTGAAATGTTGACACAACAGCAGAGCTTGTGTATTTACTGAAATGTTGACACAACAGCAGATATTTTGTATTTTACTGAAATGTTGACACAACAGCAGAGATTGTGTATTTACTGAAATGTTGACACATCTTTAAGATGAAATTAGAATAACATTCAAACAGCAGAGATTGTGTATTTACTGAAGTGTTGACACATCAATTACATGCAAACAGCAGAGATTGTGTATTTACTGAAATTTTGACACGTCTTCAAGATGAAATTTCCCTGCATTGTAAAAAACCCCTTTACTGTGGGGAAAAAGCACATTTATTATATAGTGTTTAGGGATGTGTAGAAGAGTCAGACCAGTGTGTGTCAGTAACAGCAGCCGAAGCTGCTTCCTCAGTCAGTCTCACACCCAGTCACACACAGCAGCATACAAGATTTCCTCATGTTGATCTTACTGCATTGATCGACACAGCCTGTGTGTGATCAGTGGGGGGAAAAAGCTTGTACCCTGAGATCAGTCTACCAAACTCTCAATGTTACCGGGAATAAATCTGCATCCAAACCCTGTCGTTCCTGGTAGTATAATATCATGCTTCTCTGCTTGGACATCAATCAAAACGACCACAGACACCCAATGTGGATTGCGAGCTTCCTGACTGAAAATTTATCTGAATGTTTTCGTGATCTACATTTGTGAAATACAGGAGGATGCAAATAGCATTGAATTGAACAATTGTGCAGAAGGCGAAGCTCTGTGTGATGTCTCGACAAGAATTAAACTGCAGATGCACAGGATTATTCGCTCTGCAATCAAGTGAGGTTTGTATTTAATGACGGTGTCGACAGAGTTTGTTGATGGTGGTTACGATGGCTCAATGACAGTGGTTTCAGCGTGGCAGACAGAACATATGGGGTTCTGATCAAAAGACCTGCGATATACCGATATACCGGCTTCTTGTCACCGGCTTCGTGTCAAGGTGCTCCTGCTGTTTGTGTGTATGTGTGTGCGATCCGTGATACCAAAGCTGTTGTAGTGGAGTCCATCTTACGGAAGCTGTCCGTGTGTAGAATTTCCAGGGCCTAGCTCCTATAGGAAATTCTGCATGTTTAAGCCGGAACATCCTCGTGGACTTGTAGTATTTCGGTGTAACAAATGTGTGGAAAAGACAATTGAAAATGCAGATTAAGAAGATCAACACTAGATTTTAACTGATTTAGTCATATTTGTGAAACAAAAAGAGCCAAGATTTAATTAGGGTAAAGCCAGCTTGATAAATCTGTGACCACATGTTGCCATTTGAAACAAAATATGGATCTTACTCAATTACATAGGCTAATTGAGATACACTTTGCTGCATAGTTCCAGAGGTTGATGTGATTTCTGTGGGTTTTTCCGACTGTTACAAATAATGATGGAGTGTAAATAGTGTGTATACAGTTTTCAACAAAACAGAGGCTCAAGTTAATGATGTCTTTATGACCGAACCATCGAAGGACTACAGAGAACTATTGACTCTTTGTGATATCTGTATATAAATCAATAGCCATTAAGTTTGTAGGTTTTCACCCAACGAGCTGCAAACTGTGGATTTAAAATAGCTGGAAACAACACTGTGCAGCAGAGATGCAGCGCAATTACAGCACACATTTGTGGGTTGCAGCATAGTTATATTTTATAGTACTCATGTACAGCTGATCTTCATTGATGAACGTTGTGCTGGAATGTAATTGTGATCAACTCCCCTACACACGTGTGTGTGTGTCACCGATTTTGACACACATACTCTACAGACAGTGTAACCAGTGGTGGCAGAGAGGTCTGAATCATCCCCACTAGACTAAAACCTGTGGACCTCAACAATAATACATGTGTGTATGTGTGTGCTGGAGTAAAGTGATGCTGTCTTAGCTGGATCTAGCCATAGGGGCTATATAGTACTGTACAAAACAGTCAACACTGAGAGGGGTGCATCTATTGTGTTCACATTATGTAGGCCCTGTTTTAACGGCCTTATTATTTCCTGATTTCTATCTCCGAAGTTTGATGAGTAATTCTCATCACAGAATGTAGGAAATCTCCGGCATGTCATACAATTTCTGATTGAGTATATTATCCTCGGCAATCGCGACTGACCGCGATAAAAAATTGACCGTGCATAGTATTTTACATGCATGGATTTTCTGTTATAATGATGAACTTTTGAAGTAAAGAAGTGTCGGAATGTAGGACAAAGCTAATATCTGTCAATAGAAAATACAGTATACATGTTGAAAAAAAGAGGAAATATACAAACAACAACATTTACTTGGCTTTTGTGAGTGATCAGACTTGCTGCAAAACAAGTTGACAAATTGATGTCTGCATACATTTTTTGACTTCTAAAAATAACCTTTGACAAATCAAAAGTGGGAAAATTAACAAGGTGACAAATTATCAGAAATATAGTGTGATTGAGGAAGCACTAATCCTGTTATTTAGTGTGAAACCGTGCTGTGATGGTGGACATAGATTTCCTCTGTCCTCACCCAGACAAGGAAACTTGAGCCTATAGTTGAACCAGACAAGTGTTACATCGCCATGGAAACTCGACACACCATAAGATGTCCAGCATTAGTTTCACTGCAGTTCTTTGGAGACAGGGACAGATGACCTTGACATTAGTGTTGTTATGACAACAAGCGTGGGAGGAATCGGACAGATGATGTAGTCTTGTGGACACATGCGATTTCAGCTCAAATTCAGTGTTATTTTCATTGTGATATCAGTGATGCTCCAAGTGCTGACAGCTTTTGTTTTTAGAGAAATTGAAAAGCGAAAAACATAAATTTATTACCGCAGTTGTATATGAATTGGTTCGTATGTGTACACTGAATTGTCTGGGTTGATTTGTGGGCAAGAGATTGATTTTAGCAGTTAATACTGGATGGTGTGATTTGTGTTAATACAAACGCAACAGTTGTGTATGGAGGTAACAAAATGCTGCAATTTACAAAGTAAACCAGACCTGATTCCCTGTAAATCAATTATTCTGCCTGGATGTGAGTGACTCACTGTAGGAGTAAATCAAAAAGAAAACTCCTCCAGGTTTCGATGCGCTACACAGGACCAATAGATAGCATCTACTGAACCAGACAATTGATTTGCTACAAATCAGTGATGCAAGCTCCGGGAAAATTGTCTTGGAATTCATTTGAATGGAAATTCCCATGTTACGTTCTGACTGTAAAATATCGTACATGACACCGGAAAATAAACGCCCGTCACTGTGTTCTGTTGTGTATAGCTACGATGTACTTAGGCAAGTGTTTGTACAGGAAAAGATTTAAACTTTGTTTTACATAAGTGTCTTACTTTTCATTCAAACTGTTCCTGAAATACTTGTAAGCTTTCAAGATACCTATATACTTTTTTATGTTTTCAGAAATTAAGTTTTATTTCAATCTTTGTAACAAAGATTGCAAATTTGCAAAGATAACCACCAGATAGGTTATAAATTGGTGCATCAATGTGACTTGTAAAAAGGAGAAATAACAAAAAGATATAAAGTTGTGAAATCAAATATCAGTCCTGATAAGGAAGATTTCGGGAAGTGCGAAATAGAAATTTTCACAAAAATTTGTGATCAAACAATTAATTAACTGGAATATTATAAGGATACAATTCAACGTAATAATTAAAGCAGGAAAGAAAAGTTTGAATAAGGACAAATTGATTGTAAAATCAAGTTTTATTTTGGGATAAATGTTCATGCTAAATTTGGTTTTAGATGGATAAAAGTTAAAACAAGATTTTGTTAAAAGGATAAATAAAAGTTCAATTTTAACTTAGGTTTTAAGGATAAACCCCCCCCTTTTTTTTAATTATGGATTCCAATGGTTCAAAATCAAATTTTCATTTCGGATATGAGGATAAATTTGTGAAAATATAATTTTCAGCTGGAGTTGGATCGTAGCCCATCAAGCTGAGACGTGATCAAGTGAGAGAAGAAAACAGAAAGGATGAATGCAGCAGTGTAAATAGCTGGTGCGGTGGAGGCTAACGGCAGACATTCTCACAGCTAGGATGATGAATCGGGAGGAGGTGTATTGCCTATGTCTCTAGTACATACTGACTTAACGGAACTAGTACAAAGTATATGTGTGTGCTTCTAATTATATGGAGAGCTTTTTAGAATGTAAAATCTGGATCGGGTTAAATAGGCCTCATCATCACCATCGTCCATGATGTCGAAGTGAATGAGTGAAGTTGGATATAATCATCCCGGGGATAGTAGTATGGAGAACAGGCACTGAACACACATGTACCCTGATCGGTAGTGTGGCTGGTGTATATGGTTGACAGTTTCTGTTGCATCACTAGCTGTGTACATGGACCTTCGTGTTTTGTAGATATCTTGCACAGACTAAATAGAAACCGTAGTAGCTATCAGAGATCTGATATAATAGAATTACTGAGATACAGTATATCCCTGAGCTGGACCAGCAGGCAAACTCGGCTCTTGGTTATCTCTTCCGTTTTGTATGCTTCATATTGAATTTGTCACAAGTAATTACTGGACACACAACGAAGCACTATATAAACAGAAATTAGCTATTATTCTGTGAGCATACAAAACAGCTAAATATGTATGAAGCTATTATTCTGTGAGGATAGCAACAAACTCAACTACATGTTATTAGAGAACCTTCAAAGAGGAGAGTTTTACTTGTAACTTCATTAATAAGGCAGGATTTCCATCCAGTACATCCACAAAAGGCCTTGTATTAAATACAGGCAGGCAATATTGGTACTGTCTGAGTAAGGACAGTTCATAAAGTATAGCTCCAATGAAGTAGTTCCGTGTTCATGTAGTGCAATTGTGTACTTGAAGCGGAAGTAAATATTCACTGGGATAGTGAGTGTGTACTTCAATCTGATTTAAATATCCACTGGAATATTGCATATTTGAAGCTGAAGTATATATTCACTGGGATAGTATATACTTCAAGCTGATTTAAATATCCGTCGGAATATTGTGTGTTTGCAGCTATATTATGTATAAATTGGGATATTGCATACTTTAAAGTTGGAGCTTAACTGCATAATTCTTCTTTGGAATAGTGTATATGTATGCACTGTGTTTGAAAGAGCTGTCAACTAGATTCTTTGGATCTGTTTGCTAAGGATTGGATTCACAGATTTAACCTTGCTGTTTGATACCTGATTTTTGTGTCGTTGTTGCTGCAGTGTTACATCGTGTAAATACCTTACATTGGATATAAAACCAGGATTAATTCTACTAACATGTACAATCTCTAGCAATATGGAACTACTTGGTGTTGCAAGAAATGTGAGTGATTACTTATAAAAAAGTGTGTTCGTAAAAGTACACCGCTAAATAAACAAACATGGCTACCATAGCTACGACAGCCCTTGGTCCAACTGTGGTTATTGCTACTGCAGAAACCTCCGATTCAGGGGGTTCCGCTCGTGGCTCCTTGGGGACTGTCTCCATGGGAACTGTTTCTGAGGGTACTGCTTCCCTGGGTACCGCAGTCGACCTAGAACCTGACCCTGAAGAACAGAGCCAACCTGGTAAGCCTTGAGGTCAAATAGAGGGGAAAGTGAGGGGTATTTGCTATAGAATGGTGTTGAATTTGTGTTTGGTTGGGAGGTAGGGGTTGGGGGGAAGGGGAAGGGAGTTAAAACAATATGATTTCTCTTTCAAAAATGAAATCGGTCTTATTTCAAGGACATTTGATTACCATGGTATCACATTTCATATCCAGACACCTAACTAGACAACTATTACTGAAATATCAAGTTGAGCTTAATTGTAGTGCTATCTCACTGAAACGTCAAGTCACAAACACTGAACTGTAGTGTTATCAAACTGCATTGTCACCTTTTGTGATGTCAACAAATGATGGTCACAGACTGCCAGATTATGTTATGATGTCAAATTGGAGACAATGATATGATATGCAGAGCCAAGATAACGGAATTGAAGATTTCCAGAATTTCCTGGTAAAGCATGTTTTATAATATTAGCACTGTTTTTGATCATGTGATAAAAAGGATTTTAAATTCATAGGCTCTATAATTTATATAAACTTAGGACATGGTTCCTAATTATCTCACAGATATAATTTTATATGTTTAAAGGTATTTTACATCTGTTCCATTTCCTACGAGATTAATGAAATAAATCAAAGAATATTTCATTTAGGCAGTATCGCAAAATTGAAAAGTTTTTTTCATCTGTGGTGTATGTTTTTTATTACAATTTTGATTGATTTATATATATATAATATATATTTATGGGTACATTTTACTGCTTTTTTTAATCAGAATTTAGGGCAGTTGCAGGTTTATTTGAGATATAGTAGCTAGGAAAACATGGTGTTCATTGATTCATACACATTCCCGTTAAGTTAGAAATAAAATTGGAAAAAAAGGACAGTACAAGGTTTTATTAAAATTTAATTGACCGACACACATACGTATATAGATAGCTGATTTTATATGTTAACTGATGCCTGCTTGAAGTTGAAGAAGTTATAAGTCATTGGCTATGTATAGGCGCTATTTATTTATTGATAGTCCATGACATTCATAGATCATACACGTTTATATGACGCAAACAAGGCAATTTCAATGGTGAAATAGTCTGTGACAGACAAGTATGTTTTATGTTTGTGTAAATTCTACGAATAACTAGACTTTGTTTGTATAGATAGCTGTTGCATCATGTGATGAAAAAGGATTGTCACCTTGCTCTATAATTACAAGTGTTGGTGGCATTCGTTACACTTCGGCAGATCTACATCTAATGTTTTAGATGAAAGATACCGGAATCGGCCGAGGTTAGCCGAACGGTGTTGTTAGGAGTTAGGTAAATATTTGTTACTCAATAAATAACTGGAACAGAATCAGTTTTCTGTCTCCCCTAGATACTGTTTGAACTACATTGGTCTATACATCCAACACATGGTATTAGCTTGTTAGCTTATGTTTAGCAGTACCATATGATAAACAGCAGTCTTCTTCCATCCATTGAGCTCCCATCCCAGCAGTAGGGCGGTGTGGGTTGGGGGTAGGGGATCCCATCTCCCATCTCCCATTCTCACTGCAGTTAAGTTTTTTTGAGAAATTGGTTTGCCATGACCTTTTCAATAGTTATTTCATAAACATAGTATAAGAAGATGAGTTGAATTGGTATAAATATAATGTTAAGCCTAAAAGGGTTTATTTCTCAATCCTGATTTTTTGTTGAAACAATGGAGACATTTAATCCACAAATTTTCCTTATATCCTGATATTAAACAGCAGCTGCTCTTTATTGAATCACTGATATTATATCTTTATATTTCAAATATCAAAGTGTACCTGAAATGCACACTGCATTTATCTGGCAATGAGCCCATGCCTGGTAATAAGCCCACACATATCTTGGTAAAGAATGCCGACAAATGCTATTTCATTGTCCTGTAATAAGCCCACTCATTATTCGAAACTGAGATTAATAATGTGTGTTGCCACCTGTGGTTACATTTGATATATAGTTTTGGAATAAAGTAAATATTCTAGAAAATCCAGATCCTGTTAATGTAATGGTTTCAAATGTCCCCCATGCAAATCAGATTTTTCTGAGTATTTGATTTTGTATGATTTTAAGGGAAAAAGTTTAAAGAAATCGGAACATTATCGATTATTTATGTAGGCAATGGTTGTGTCAATGCAAAGGGGTAGAGATAAGCACTGGAATGAAATCAGTAATTACAGATCCAGTGATTACCTGTCAGAAAACAGTGTGTCAGGTGAGAATAAATAGCAGCTCTGTAGGGGAAGGTGGACGTGGGAGTCAGACAGGTAAATCAGGATCGTACAGGTGCTTTGATTACAGGTTACAGATGTAGGTGTTCACACCTAGGATGGGTAGGACAGGTGTGCTAATGGCAACGTTCCATGCCTTGTCAGCTTAGGTTACAGGTACGATGTAATCCACTTCGGTTTTAATGAACAATTATGACTTAATATGTACGAGGAAAATAATTAGTGAAACGAACAACTGAAGTTATATTTTATGTTACTGTCAAACCTGCAGATTAATCAGTACTTATTCGGCAACTATAATACTGTCAAACCTGCTGGATGGACCATCTGTATAAAGAGACCACCTTATGGACTTGGCGATCCATGTCCCACTGAACTGGTTTTTAGGTCACCTGAGCTTTAGCTCAAGTGACCTATTGCTATCCGTTTTCGTCCGTCGTCGTCCGTCGTCTGTCGTCCGTTAACATTTTACATTTCAAACTTAAAGTCAAGTTCTGCTGGGCCGATTGAACTGAAAGTTGGTAGGAATGATCGCCTCATGGTCCTGACAAAGTGTTGTTATTTTTCGGGTCGATCAGAAATCCAATATGGCCGCCACGGCCACCATTTTGAAAACCTATTTCAAACTTAAAGTCAAGTTCTGCTGGACCGATTGAACTGAAAGTTGGTAGGAATGATCGCCTCATGGTCCTGACAAAGTGTTGTTATTTTTTGGGTCGATCAGAAATCCAATATGGCCACCACGGCCGCCATTTTGAAAACCTATTTCAAACTTAAAGTCAAGTTCTGCTGGACCGATTGAACTTAAAGTTTGTAGGAATGATCGACTCATGGTCCTGACAAAGTGTTGTTATTTTTCAGGTCAATCATAAATCCAATATGGCCGCCACGGCCACCATTTTGAAAACATATTTCAAACTTAAAGTCAAGTTCTGCTAGGCCGATTGAACTGAAACTTTGTAGGAATGATTGACTCATGGTCCTGACAAAGTGTTGTTATTTTTCAGGTCGATCAGAAATCCAATATGGCCACCACAGCTGCCATTTTGGTAAACTATTTCAAACTTAAAGTAAAGATCTACTTGGCCGATTGAACTGAAACTTTGTAGGAATGATCGAATCATGGTCCTGACAAAGTGTTGTTATTTTTCGGGTCAATCAGAAATACAATTTGGCTGCCATGGCCGCTATTTTGCTACTAAGTTCTAATAGGCCGATCTCACTTAAAATTGGTCTAGGAATGATCAGCTCATGGTCCTGACAAAGTTAAGTTAACATTATACTATTTTTTACTCAAATTGGTACATATTTCAACAACAAAAATAAATACTGTAGACTCAGGTGACCGTTTAGGCCCATGGGCCTCTTGTTTTCATATACACAGTAACCTCCCTTTAATTTATGTTTGGATATGACTGTATCAAAGTTGGATTAGGACACTTCTGTTGACCAGGTAGCTCAGTTGGTTACAGCGAAAGTATAACAATCTGTGTCCAGTGTTTGAAACCCGGTCTAGACCCACTCAGAACACTGTTAATTATATTTTGTTTAAGTCCAGCAAGGTACATGTATGGCTTTCTTTTCAGAAACGATTTGGCTATAGTCATGCCTAAAACAAAAACCAGTTTCCAACATTTACAACAGTTATATTTTTAAAAAAAAATGGAAAAATTGTGATGGGAAATAATAAAAGGGGAAAAAATCTGAAAAAATTGTATTTGAAACTAAAGCATTTCAAAGTAATAATTTTAAAAAAATCGCTGACATTTAGGATGTATATGGAAGTAATGATGATGATTTTACACAGCTATATGGTCTGGTAGGTGTTGATGTTGATCCTCATAACTTATAGAGATGATGTATGTCTTGTGTGGGAGTCTCCACTCCTATCAGCCTGTAAGGTAAGCTGGCCACACCTGTGCGTAGCCAGGTAACCTCAAGATCTCATCAGAAGGCTAAGCTACTGCAGCTGAGGACAGGCCTCAATCCTCTACTTCAGCAGCTAGCTATAGGGTTTCTGAAACCTTTACACATATATATATTAAAAGATAATAAATCTTGGATCAAAATATGAAACAAATATTAAATTTTTCAGTTCCATCGATTGCGTGTAGGAAATGATGAAATCAAAGGATATCAGTGAAAGACAGTTTTACTGCCTTTTATGAACAATTGATTAGTCAATTTCTGCAAAATATGGGTACGTTTTTGGTGTTTGATATTAAACTTAGTGTTTTGGGATTCGGAAACAGAGATCTTGACATAAATGAATGTTCTCTATATTTGCTGAATTTTGTTTTTGTCCCAAGAAAGATGATATATACTGCATCTGGAATTAAGTCGGTTAATATGAGATTTCTCTTTCATCTGAAGCTTTTTCATAATCTCTATGATTGACTTGGATGTATATGTATTATACCTGCTTTGAGGACAGAGGGACTTGTTATAGTACATGTGTATAGGTCTGGTAATCACCGTACAGGGAGAGTGTTCCAGCAGATAGCTGGATCAAAGGTAGACAGATGTTGGTTAGGGGGTGGGTGGTTAAATGGTGCACTGTTATACATGTACAAACCTTGTTTACAGATTGAAGTACCTAACAACTTAACATTTCCGCCTCATCCAGTCACAGACTTTCTGGTTCCGTTCTGAAGGGAGCTCACTGGCTCTACATAGATGCCTTTGTTTCAGAGGTTCTGAGATAGTCATTATAAAACATTGCTCTAAATTTGAGACTGTATGTCAAGGTACTGCGATACTCTAAAGTGTGTTTACTTGTGTTAAATTGTGCTCAAAATGAAATCAAATTTGAAATCAAATTTAAGATTTTAGTATGCTGATGACAAATTTGGTCATGAACATTCAATTCAATGAAGAACTGCCTACCTATAGCAAGCTAATTTTTTAGGGTTATCTAGGGCTCATGAAGTTTTTTTTTTGTTTCATTTTCATTTACTTTTTCATATTTAAGAACATTGTGATCAGAATTTAAGTTAGTTTATGATAACATTCAATTGGTTTATCATGAGATGAAGTGCAATTTAGACTGACCTATTTCCTAAGACCATATTGCTTGTGTCATCTCCCCCCCCCCCCCCCCCCCCCCCCCCCCCCCCC